TAATATATATATATATATATATATATATATATATATATATATATATATATATATATATATATATATATATTTAACATAATATATATATATATATATATATATATATATATATATATATTTTAACATAATATATATATATATATATATATATATATATATATATACTAGGTAGTAGGTTGGTAGACAGCAACCGCCCAGGGAGGTACTACCGTCCTGCCAAGTGAGTGTGAAATGAAAGCCTGTAATTGTTTTACATGATGGTAGGATTGCTGGTGTCTTTTGTCTGTCTCATAAATATGCAAGATTTCAGGTACGTCTTGCTACTTCTACTTACACTTAGGTCACACTACACATACATGTACAAACATATATATACACACCCCTCTGGGTTTTCTTCTATTTTCTTTCTAGTTCTTGTTCTTGTTTATTTCCTCTTATCTCCATGGGGAAGTGGAACAGAATTCTTCTTCCGTAAGCCATGCGTGTTGTAAGAGGCGACTAAAATGCCGGGAGCAAGGGGCTAGTAACCCCTTCTCCTGTATATATTACTAAATTTGAAAGGAGAAACTTTGTTTTTTTCTTTTGGGCCACCCCGCCTCGGTGGGATGCGGCCGGTGTGTTGAATGAAAGAAAGAATATAATATATAATATATATATATATATATATATAATATATATATGTATACATATATATATATATATATATACATGTATATAATATATATATATATATATAATTATAATATATATATATATATATATAAATATATATATATATATATATATACACAAAGGGACAAACCCATATAAAACAAGAGACCATCACAACTATAAAACTAAGACAAACGTAAGAGCACCAACTCTCACTTTACAGTGAAGATGATTTATTCATCAATAAACAGAATGAGTGTCTCACACGGGTCTTTGGATAATGATAATTAACCATCAGCTGGCCTACCAGAGCAAGGTTGTACAACCCATCTAAAAACTAAAGGATTACCATGTGCACTGATGACCAAGTCTCAACCCAAAGGATTGAGCATATGGACAACAAACAGTAAGAAAACTACCTTGCCCACTTAACATGCTCAACACAAGAATACAGGAATGATTTGTATGGATCACAGAACATGTTCACAGGGAAACAAGAGAAAATTTTGCGTGTAGTACCCAAAAATTAAATGATACAGCATGAATATATAGGTAACACAGCTAAAAATAGTGCCCTCTTGATAGCTGCAACTTTGGGAGAACTTGGTGAGTGGATCATCGAGCCTCCATCACTCCTTGTGATGAAAGACCTCTAAAGAGTTAGTGCTTAAGATATACTAATAATAATAATACATCTTGAAACATATAAGTGAACAGTATTTAGATAAGGCTAAAGAGGTCTTTGTGGCATTTATGGATTTGGAAAAGGCGTATGACAGGGTGGATAGGGGGGCAATGTGGCAGATGTTGCAAGTGTATGGTGTAGGAGGTAGGTTACTGAAAGCAGTGAAGAGTTTTTACGAGGATAGTGAGGCTCAAGTTAGAGTATGTAGGAAAGAGGGAAATTTTTTTCCCAGTAAAAGTAGGCCTTTAGACAAGGATGTGTGATGTCACCGTGGTTGTTTAATATATTTATAGATGGGGTTGTAAGAGAAGTAAATGCGAGGGTCTTGGCAAGAGGCGTGGAGTTAAAAGATAAAGAATCACACACAAAGTGGGAGTTGTCACAGCTGCTCTTTGCTGATGACACTGTGCTCTTGGGAGATTCTGAAGAGAAGTTGCAGAGATTGGTGGATGAATTTGGTAGGGTGTGCAAAAGAAGAAAATTAAAGGTGAATACAGGAAAGAGTAAGGTTATGAGGATAACAAAAAGATTAGGTGATGAAAGATTGAATATCAGATTGGAGGGAGAGAGTATGGAGGAGGTGAACGTATTCAGATATTTGGGAGTGGACGTGTCAGCGGATGGGTCTATGAAAGATGAGGTGAATCATAGAATTGATGAGGGAAAAAGAGTGAGTGGTGCACTTAGGAGTCTGTGGAGACAAAGAACTTTGTCCTTGGAGGCAAAGAGGGGAATGTATGAGAGTATAGTTTTACCAACGCTCTTATATGGGTGTGAAGCGTGGGTGATGAATGTTGCAGCGAGGAGAAGGCTGGAGGCAGTGGAGATGTCATGTCTGAGGGCAATGTGTGGTGTGAATATAATGCAGAGAATTCGTAGTTTGGAAGTTAGGAGGAGGTGCGGGATTACCAAAACTGTTGTCCAGAGGGCTGAGGAAGGGTTGTTGAGGTGGTTCGGACATGTAGAGAGAATGGAGCGAAACAGAATGACTTCAAGAGTGTATCAGTCTGTAGTGGAAGGAAGGCGGGGTAGGGGTCGGCCTAGGAAGGGTTGGAGGGAGGGGGTAAAGGAGGTTTTGTGTGCGAGGGGCTTGGACTTCCAGCAGGCATGCGTGAGCGTGTTTGATAGGAGTGAATGGAGACAAATGGTTTTTAATACTTGACGTGCTGTTGGAGTGTGAGCAAAGTAACATTTATGAAGGGATTCAGGGAAACCGGCAGGCCGGACTTGAGTTCTGGAGATGGGAAGTACAGTGCCTGCACTCTGAAGGAGGGGTGTTAATGTTGCAGTTTAAAAACTGTAGTGTAAAGCACCCTTCTGGCAAGACAGTGATGGAGTGAATGATGGTGAAAGTTTTTCTTTTTCGGGCCACCCTGCCTTGGTGGGAATCGGCCGGTGTGATAATAAAATAATAAATAAAATCTTGGGGAAAAAGTTTAACAACAACTTATAAGAGTTAGGAACCATTTAGAGTAAAGATGAATTAAAAAAAAATTACGGACAATCTAACCACAGATACCAGTACTATACTCTATGACCAAAGACCAAAGTTTTCCAACCATAACTAAAAAATGCAATAATAATAATAATAATAATAATTCAAAATGCCATATTTTATATCAATTTCAGGTCACCTCCCCAAAAACTCAAAACTGAATTTCTTTGATTGTGAGCCAATCAGGATACCACTGAGCTACAAGTATATTTTATGCAGCAAAAATCTATTTGCTGCATCAATGCCTCCAACAGACAGGCATACATAGTTAGGGTAGAAAAGCCAGTAGATGATGGGAAAAGCCAGTAGATGATGGGAAAACCTTCAACACGTTTATAGATGAAGGCAATTTATTCAACAGGAAACAACACTGAGTCTCCTGACATTAGTCTTAAATCAGATAGTGACCCTTTTAGGATTTTTGCACCACATTTAAAACACAAAGGATCACTTAACAGTAATATATCCTAAGCCATAACACCCTTATGGGTGAAAGTGAGAAGGTCAGTGCCTGCACCCTGAAGGAGGGGTGGAATGTAACAGTTGGAGGGTACTAGGAATTGTGATGCCAGCACATTTCTGGCAAGACAATGACTGAATGAATGATGGTGAATGCATTTTCTTCTCTGGGTCACCCCTACCTTGCTGAAAATAGCCATTGAGTTAAAAAATAACAAACTAACAATATTTATCCTTGGGGTAAGTAGATATGATTTACTAGTGTGCAAGCTAATTTCCAAAGCCTCAGATACAGAGCTAGTGAGTGTAATTCAGATAGGGAAGGATGATGAAGGGATACTCATGTACATTTATTTAGAAAATATTGTCCAGAAGTTAACTGGAAATAAAATCCTTCCATTAATGAACTGCCAAAGTTGTATTCTAATATATTCTATCAAGCAGAGTATCCATAAACCATTAAAAAGATGTTAGTAAGACCTGCTAGAGGCTTGTAATGGTAATAAATGACACAAAGGCATTTAATGTAGAAATGTGAAGTTAACTCATTGAAAATTGCAGGAAAGAAAAGTCTGAAGAAGGCAGAGAAACTTGAAATAAAAACAATTTTATTTAACAAAACTTTATCCCAAATAATAATAAATTAATTGTGCTCCCTCAACATTAAAAACCCCCCTTGCCCTGTTTCATATTTTCACACTATTGCCATTCCTGTTTACAAACATTATAAAAATGCTTTACAAGCACTACTTGAAGCAAATTTATATGATAATCTAATAGGGGGTTTGGCAGTAAAAAATGGATGCCGGGCTTTTTAACCTTGAAAAAAATTAAATATTATAAATTTTTTCACTATATATATTTTTAGAATCCTTTACAGCTCATTATAATTTTTAAATGATTTTCTAATAAAATCATGGGAGTTGTGTCCTAAAATCTGGGTGCTAAAATTAAATCTATAGATTTATTTAAAACCCGGGGAAACACAAAAAAGGCAGATTCCAAAAAGAATTAAATTTTTCCTTAAATACACTTTTGAAGTCAGGTCAGTATAATGCAATTTTCTAACACTTTTTCCTCGAAAATCTCAGTTTTAACATTATTTTTCTAATATAAAACACAACTCAGAAACCATGAAGAGTTAAACTGAGGATGCCCTGTCGAAAAACTGATTATTCAAGGGTGGCAGTCCCTGGGGGAGCTTTTTCCTCGTGACGTTTTCCCTTTTTGACACAGTGGCACAGAAAACAGCAGGGGAACCCCAGAGAGCCAAGGATCAGTCACAGGGGGAAGCTTTGGCAGAGAAAATACACGAAGACATGAACCACGGGCCATGGGCCCTAGAGGCCGAAGGAAGAAAAAAGGGGTGCAGGGGGGGGGCGGGGCGGGGGCAGCGCGGGGGGTGTGGGCGGACCAACAGAGGGCAGCATGCGGGTTTGTGGGGAGGTGTTTTGGCCCTTTGGTGTCAATTGTCAGGGCCGGCGGCCAAGAAGGTTAGAGATCTCTCAATTTAAAAAAAAAAAATATCAAATTTAAGGCTAAACACAAACTAATTACATTGGTACACCCCACTCTACCCAAAAGGCTAAAAGTTTAAGCCCTTAGATGAAAACCTACCATAGGAAATCTTAAGAAGCTTTTCACAGCCTTCCTGACCAGCCAGTTCCTACAGCTTGACAGGATTGAATAACTGCGTGTTATACCACGTACCTGGGATCATCCTGGCTGGAGGAGTACTGGTGATAGTAGCTATGGTAGTTAGAGTACCTGTTTTCTCGACTGGTTCCGTCTCCTCTCGTCCCTCCGCCTTGGTCATCATACAGTGTGGTCTGTCTTTCCAAGCTTGGCCTACGTGTAGTTCCTGAAATCAGGTACCTGATGTTAAACTTACTATTACTGTGATATCAGTTATGCTTATCCCTGCAGCCATTTGTGGCATGTGTACTACTGTAGTTAAATATTGGTTTTCTGCAGCTGACATTGTATGTGTGTTTACTGTGGTGGCATTATGAAATATGTCTGCTGACAATCATATCATGGTGTATGATTCTGCAGCAATGTCATATGTTTATACTGCTGCTACCAAGTCCAATGTATTTGCAGCTACATCTCACTTGTGTCTCACTCAAATCCTGTAATTTGTACTGTATCTGTTACAATCAGTGTTTGTTTACCATAAATAATCTTCGTCTCACTCAATCTCCCTGGTAAAGCAATGAGTATATGCACTGTCTTCTATTAGGAAAAAATATGGCACATAACACCCAAAATGTTTACCCCTTCATAAATTATGTCACATCTTACTTAAGCAAGCAAAACTTAACTTGTTGGTGTATTGTACATCATTCCTAGTTTCACATAACACTATATACAGGAAGGTCCCACTTTACAGTGCTTCATTTTACATTGTTTTGCTAATACAGTGGAACCTCTACCTGTGAGCTCATCCACATGTGAGTTTTTCCAAATACGAGCAGTTGATGGGTCAATTTTTTGCATCCATAAGCGAGCAAAATTTCCATAAGCGAGCAGACCTCAAGAGAGGTTCCTTGACGCTGGTGAGGAGCTCTTGCTCTTTATCTAGGGACTTGGATATCATTTGTGTGTTGGATTATCTTACTGAAACTTGGGCAAAGTGTGATGGAAAGATGCTTCTTAACGTACACCAAAAATGAAAGAAATTGGAGCATAAATAATGGAATTCACTTCTCAGCAATTAGCCGCCCTTTAGTGGTATTTTCGTATGGTTTTTATGGCTGTATTTTCATTTTTTGGTCTCATTTGACAGAATGGAATATATATATATTACAGAAATAGATATAATTTTTATTGCTTTCACGACGAAAAGTACCTTGAAATTGAGCTCAACGTAGGAGAAATGTTCAATTGTTTTGGCTATGTTCAAGAGTAAACAAATGTCACTGTCTATTTCAACATGTATTCGTGAATGGGATGACATTATTTATACAATTATTGCAATAAGGCAGTAGTCTGCATAACAGTAAATCTGAAATTTTTTTTTGTGAATAAAAATTACAAATTATTTATATTGTAATAATAATCATAATAATAATGTATAATAATAATAATTTTTTTTTTTTTTTTTTATCACACTGGCTGATTCCCACCAAGGCAGGGTGGCCTGAAAAAGAAAAACTTTCACCATCATTCACTCCATCACTGTCTTGCCAGAAGGGTGCTTTACACTACAGTTTTTAAACTGCAACATTAACACCCCTCCTTCAGAGTGCAGGCACTGTACTTCCCATCTCCAGGACTCAAGTCCGGCCTGCCGGTTTCCCTGAACCCCTTCATAAATGTTACTTTGCTCACACTCCAACAGCACGTCAAGTATTAAAAACCATTCGTCTCCATTCACTCCTATCAAACACGCTCACGCATGCCTGCTGGAAGTCCAAGCCCCTCGTACACAAAACCTCCTTTACCCCCTCTCTCCAACCTTTCCTAGGCCGACCCCTACCCCGCCTTCCTTCCACTACAGACTGATACACTCTTGAAGTCATTCTGTTTCGCTCCATTCTCTCTACATTTCCGAACCACCTCAACAACCCTTCCTCAGCCCTCTGGACAACAGTTTTGGTAATCCCGCACCTCCTCCTAACTTCCAAACTACGAATTCTCTGCATTACATTCACACCACACATTGCCCTCAGACATGACATCTCCACTGCCTCCAGCCTTCTCCTCGCTGCTGGAGGCAGTGGAGATGTCATGTCTGAGGGCAATGTGTGGTGTGAATATAATGCCTTGGGTTTCTGTGACTGTATTCCCTGTTGGTGCATGTTTACCTGTCTTATTCCTATCCTCCCTAGCACCAGCAATGGAGCTCCCACCAGTTGTTTTTGGTAATATATCCTCACTATTGCTAGTGGAGTCCTCTTGTTTGCTATTTCCTGTGGTATTTCTAGTTTGCAATATTGGTTTTATCTTATCTTTGACTACACTTGTTTCCCCACTATGGCTCCTGTCCCCTATGAGGTCATTTATATGTATTCCTTCCTGCGTATAATTCCCGACTACCTGGACAAAATCTCCAGCTTCACCATTACTGTCTCCCAGGACAGCACCTCCAGCTTCACCATTACTGTCTCCCAGGACAGCACCTCCAGCTTCACCATTACTGTCTCCCAGGACAGCACCTCCAGCTTCACCATTACTGTCTCCCAGGACAGCACCTCCTGCTTCACCATTTCTGTCTCCCAGGACAGCACCTCCAGCTTCACCATTACTGTCTCCCAGGACAGCACTATCAGCCCCACATTTACTGACTACCAGGACATCACCTCCAGCCTTACAGTTTCTGACTACATGGCCAGTATCAAGGGCAGTACATTCAGCCCAGACTTTTTATGTTCCCATCTGTTGTAGAAAGCTTCCAGGTTTTCTATGAAAGCAGCTTTGATGTTATCCTCTTTTAATACCCTTGTGATTTTAGTCCACAGATTTATCTCATTTGGGCATACCCAAAAACACTTCCCTGTTTTAATACTGCTTGTAGCTATTTTCTTGGATATCTGCACAAGGGGCGTGACACCAATTTCCACAAAAATGACAATTTATCCATGTGGAAGCCCGTTTGTTTGATTGACTGCAGACTACACAGAGCTTCATAATGATTTGAATGGTTGATTTACTGTAATTCTACAAGCAACCTCTTGAATACTCTATTAATAACCTCCTTAAATGAAGCTCTAGCTATTTGTATTTCTATTTCTAACTGTACTTGTATATTGGACAGCTTACCGTGTACGTTCCTGATTTATATTTATTGTTTGTGTTTGATAAGGGCGCCTACAACCCCATCTGTTTACAATCTGCTTTATTGTCCAACGAATCCGTTTGAAACCAGTCAAGGGTTCGGACCAGTCAAGGGTTTGGACCAGTCGAGGGTTTGGACCAGTCGAGGGTTCGGAACCACTCTGATCTGATCAGTGGGTCACTTATTTAAAACATACTGGTCGGGTCAGGTTTCTATGTTATATTGTTTGTTATGCCATATTAGATGAACTGTTATAGATAAATAAGCCGTATAGTAGATGATATTAGCAAAATTATTCAAGAAGTATTTTGTCCGGTCTCCAGAAAGACTCGTCCACCGCCGACACCGCCCATACCACTACATGAATGACATTTTATTCATTTTAGAGTATGTATCAGGTTTCTATGTTATTTATGTTGTTTATTATGTCATATCAGATGAATTGTGATATATAAATGAGCCGTAGAGTTGATATTAGGGAAATTATTGAAGTACAGAATTCCACCAGAACAGATTAATTGCATTTCAATTAATTTAAATGAGGAAAACTGACTCTGCAAATGAGTAAATCCAATTGCGAGCAAGGTCATGGAACAGATTAAACTCGCAAGTAGAGGTTCCACTGTACAGTGGTTTTCATTTATACCCATTCTTCATTTAGTCAGACTTCCTACTATAAATATATTCACCACTCGCTATAAGCTAATGATGAAAATATTTTAAGGTAAGTAATGTGTGTACTGTATATGCATTTTTTAGGCCTAGTCCATTGCTCACTTAGTCTATGATAGTATAAACACATTATCATGATTTTATATGCATTTGAAAGTGGAAAGGCTATGATTCACTTGACAGCAATTTTTGCTTTACAGCAGTAGCCCAGAACCTAACCTGCTGTATAAGCGGGGCCCTCCTGTATGTTCTTCAAAAGCAGTTCAAGAATGAAGATACTGAACAAATTAGATAAAGTTAGGATTCCTAAAGTAGGAGAAGTTTATCCTACTACTTCTTTAGGAATCCTAACGTGAGATGACAGTAACAACAACAAGCTCACCAAACCATACATAGGTTAAGTTATGTGTGGCCTTATCATGTAGTAGTATATGTATTTAACACTGCATCCATGTCACTTAACAAAAATGATGATACTCTGGACAGTGGAATACACCAGACAGCAGGATAAACTGGACAATAGTCTCTGATGGAAGCAATGTCTTGATCTACTCAAGATTTAAAGAGAAATTTGATGTTATGATGACAGTATAACCCACCATTACAGCTGAACCTTAAGACCACAATATTTTTCATAACTATTTTTCCTCATCAAGTTCCCACCCCTTCCAAGGATTGTACAAAGACTTCATCCAAGTTTTCAATATTTCTGAGTTTCTTGAATGTTGTGAACATGTCCCTTTGATTCTTTCATGCCTCCCATGTTGTGAAGGCTCAGCCATTCAAGCCTATATGACCAGTTACTTGTAACCAGTTTCAAGGCTGGCCTGACTTTACTGCTCACTGCCTAGTAACCATGGCTGTTGCTGCCAGTAGTCCATCCTCAGGTCTTACATTCAGTTATTACAGTAATAGTGTTTTCCTTTCTTCAACCATCCTTATCAACTTGCATTTACAAGGGTCGAACTTGAATAGCCATTTACTTGACAACATATGCAGCCTTCTCACATCATCTTGTAGTTTCAATCATTACTTTCCTTCTTTGCACGAGTTTTGTACTATCAACAAGAAGGGAATTCAGAAGGATGTTGAGATATTTATCAAGAATGACATGGAACTTTTAACTACTTCTATTGTAACAATAACAACATCTCTCCTGCAATTCTTTTAAATCTTTCTTTCAACACACCGGCCGTATCCCACCGAGGCGGGGTGGCCCAAAAGGAAAAACGAAAGTTTCTCCTTTTACATTTAGTAATATATACAGGAGAAGAGGTTACTAGCCCCTTGCTCCCGGCATTTTAGTTGCCTCCTACAACACGCATGGCTTACGGAGGAAGAATTCTGTTCCACTTCCCCATGGAGGTAAGAGAAAATAAACAACAAGAACAAGAACTAGTAAGAAAATA